CGTGAAATTAATCCCCAGATGTGTATCTTTTAAATACTTTCAGGCAAAATGCTTAGAAACTGGAGAAACTGTGGCCATAAAAAAGGTCTTACAGGATAGACGGTATAAAAATCGCGAACTACAGCTGATGCGATTGATGGATCACCCTAATGTCATTTATTTAAAACACTGCTTCTTCTCAACAACTCCTAAAGATGAGCTTTTCCTCAATCTTGTCATGGAGTATGTTCCTGAAAGTTTGTACAAGGTCTTAAAGCATTACACTAGTTCTAATCAGAGGATGCCCCTTATCTATGTCAAACTGTACATGTATCAGGTACGAATCCCTCATATCATAATAACTCTATGAACTTGCTTTGTAAAGCTGATAATGCTATTAATGGTGGCCAGATATTTAGGGGCTTGGCTTATATCCACAATGTTGTTGGGGTTTGCCATAGAGATGTGAAACCTCAAAATCTTTTAGTGAGTCAACATAGCTCTACCTCTCTTTTGTTGGACTTATGGAACTATTTGTCTAATTCTTTTGTTATATGAAGGTCGATCCACTGACCCACCAAGTCAAGCTCTGCGACTTCGGAAGCGCAAAAGTTCTGGTATGTTTGTTTCTCTGTTAGCAAGATATGTTGAGTCAATTTCATGAATCATGATAGATTGAGTTGGTGTTCACCCCCCGAGTACCAGAAGGAAGGCCTGAACTTTTTTTGGTCTAATAAAGAGTCTGGTTTCTAAAGTCAACATTCTTTTGAAGTAAAACTCATGTAGAACCAAGCTGCGAGCAAGTTAGTCTATCCCTTTAAATAGTCTTGAAAATAAGTTTTAGGAGTATAAGTGACCATTCATAATTTGTACTAAGAATTTGTGACTTGATTGAATTGACTAAAAATAAAATGCTGTAGCTTACTCAGACATGACCTTCTTGAGGACGTAGAGAGTTTTATTCTCCAACAGCGTCCTCATTGAACAGCATTTAGCACTTCTTTGACATGTGTATTTGTCTTTGGGAGTTCTTTCTATTTTACATAGTATATCCTCTATTCAGGTTAAGGGGGAATCAAATATTGCGTACATCTGTTCCCGCTACTATCGAGCGCCCGAGCTTATATTTGGTGCAACAGAATATACATCATCTGTCGACATTTGGTCAGCTGGCTGTGTCCTTGCGGAGCTACTTCTGGGGCTGGTATGCTTCATCGAATTTATCTGCAGTCATTAGTGTTTTTTAGATAATAACTTTTGAATATGAGTGCAGCCGCTCTTTCCTGGAGAAAATGCAGTAGATCAACTTGTAGAGATTATTAAGGTGCACATTTAATTTTAATATTAAATGTGTATGAAGATCAGGACCCCAGTTATAATGAGATTTGTCTTTTACCCTACTAATTAAGCATTTTATGATAGGTACTTGGGACTCCAACGAGAGAAGATGTTCGGTGTATGAATCCAAATTATACTGCTTTTAAATTCCCTCAAGTCAAAGGTCATCCTTGGCACAAGGTATTATTGCAGTTTTTTTATATATTAAATACTCCAAGGATGACCTTTTACTTCATTAGTAAGCAAATCTCAGTTTTCTAAATTCTTTGGGTTCAGATTTTCCAAAAAAGAATGCCGCATGAAGCAATTGATCTAGCTTCCCGGCTACTTCAGTACTCACCAAGTCTCCGGTTTAATGCTGTGAGTTTAACCATATCTTGATTTGAAGCTTAATATTCATCATTGCAAAATTCGTTTGATAAGTGTAATAAGAAATTATTGATTGGCAATCTTAAACATGTGTGAGTACCAAGTTATTTACCATCTCTGCTAAATGCACATAAGATGTTTCATATCAGATAGACAACAATAAATATTAGTAGTCTCTTGAAGATAATCTTTGTATTGCCATTTCTAATTGTTATGTTGACATCTGCAGCTAGAAGCATGTGCGCACCCCTTCTTTGATGAGCTTCGGGGGCCAAATGCTTGCCTCCCAAATGGTCGCCCTTTCCCACCACTTTTCAACTTCAACCAGGAAGTATGATTTACCACTCCTTGTTTCTTATATATATCCTCTTATATCCAATATTAATGCTGGGAAGAACACATCATTCCTTAAAAAATCATCACTAATTTGTGGTCATCTGAAAGTATTTGCTTCCTAAATTACCTTATTGTGTGTGGTTGTTTTATGTTTTTGTCCAAGTGATTTCATTTTCGCCTTCAAGAATGTTTTTCTTAAATTAGATACGTAGTATTTGCTAATATCCATAGTGAAGGGATGGACAATAAACCGATTACCCCAACATCTTGATCTGCAGTTAGTCGGAGCTTCACCCGAGTTGATCAACCGGTTAATACCAGAGCATATCCAAAGGCAAATGGGGTTGAACTTTTCGCATTTTGGGGGAGCTTAATTAAGCATATGAAGCCGTTCATCTCCCAGCGGAAACAACCAAAAGGGGTGACGTTAACACTGTTTTGGCACGATAGCCCCCGGGGGCCGGCCCTGAAAAATCCCTACTGGATCTCTGTCTTGGTCTATTCCACCAGGAATCTATGTCGTTTTTTGCTAAAGAGAGAAAGGTACCACCTGGTGTCTGTACATTGTTTTGGTCGAAGGATGTTTACTAATCTGTGCCCACTTAGTTAGGTAGCCAGATTTGCTTCAGAGACAACTCAAGGCTAAATGTAGTTGGTTTATGCTTTATTTAAAAATTGTTCTTACTAATTTTTGCATCATTCTGGACATCGTAGTTATTAAAATTTGGATTAAATATGTTTTTTGTTCCTATAAATTTTTTCTAGTCATTCTTTCAAAAAAATGTTATAAAAATAATCTTTAAACGTACGTAGCATTTCTTATTAGTTGAGGTATCACATTTATTTCATACTCAATATCCAAGCTTTGCATTTCTTATTACTTTTGACATAATTCCCGGAGAACATATTTGTGTCCTTATTCATATTAACATCTTCAATTCCATTTTTTGGAAATATAATGTGTGGAGTAATGCTCTATAGAACTTGAGAATTGAGAATGTGTTTCGATAAATGTACTGATGGAGGATAGCTCCGAAGGACACGTCAGCCGGACCCCAACAGCCACGTGGAAGCTCCCTGTTCGACCCATGAGCTCGGCTCGGCCTATGAGCTCGGCACGCCTCATGGGCTCGGCTAGAGGCGGGACAGCGACCTACGGGACAGCGACCTACGTGACAGCGACCTACGTGATGGCGACCGGCGGATAGCGATTGGCCGCGTTGACTGTGCGATAGCAATAGGATGAAAAGGACAACTCATGACAGAGATGACGTCTGCTAGGCGACGAGCCTCGATCAGAGAACTTTGACTATATGTAATGTATCCCCTATAAAAGGGGCGAGACCCCTCATTGTAACGGACCGAAGTTTATAACGAATAAACTCCTACTTTGCATTCTCTCTCTCTAAAACTTATACTATTCTTCATTCTCGGTGGTTTATAACCATCAAATTGGTGCTTTCATTGAGAGCTGAGGAACATACTCGTAGGTTAACTCCTCAACGCGAGAATGGTGCAAACCAGGAGCAACGTTCCCACTACCAGCCACGTCGGCGGCGAGGAGGTCGCTCCGGGCAGCGGCAACGGCACGGGTGGCATCGCTTCGACTCCGGACGCAGTCCAGGCGCTGTTCGGGTTGGGGGTGACCACGGAGCAACTCCAGGCGGCCGTTGCGGCACTTTCCGCCATGGGCGGGAACGTACCCGGCGCCGGGGTTGGCAAGGCTCCGCTCGGTCACCACACCGAGCACGCTGCCACTTCCCAGCACAAGGGAAAGAAGACGCGGAGGAGCAGGAGGAGGCCCGACAAGGGCCCGCTGATCGAGGAGGTGTTGGTGGAGGACGTCC